TCTGGGATGGTGAAAAGAGGAGAGTCTGGGTTCTGATCCTAATTCTGCTCCTTTCCCTGTGAACTTGAGCAAAGCATTTGATTTTTCAGAGTCTCAGTTTCCTTATGGATAAAAGGATTTACGAAATAAGGATCATAATACCTGCTTCATAGGGTGACTGTGAGAACTAATTGAGGCAAAATGTGTATTGCTTCTAGCCCAGGCTTTAGTAGCACATAGTAGCAGCTCACAAAACTTGTTTCCCTTCAAGCAGCCAAGAATCAGATATGAGCACCACAGAGATTTGAAATGCCAGCTTAATATCATTTATTGAAAGAGGATCCTTTTTAAAAACAAATCTGTGTGTCTTAAGACTAAGGCTGTAGAGCAGACCTTCTAGAATCAATGTGGTTATTAAACTGGCAGGAAATCATTTATGAAATGAGAATTTTATACTGGATTGCTACAGGAGTCTTGGGTACCATAACAGGCACTAAACAGATGGACAGTTTCTAGAAAGGCTAAATGAAGTATTGAACCATCCCACCCAATACTCCAAGAGAATTGATCATTTTCTCACAAGAGAACCACTTCAAAGAAAACCCAAGTACTTACTATCACAGCTAACGTTCACCCAGCTGGGCTTTCCCTTCTGATTCCACCAGATGTGACAGTCTATCCCCCTAAGGAAAGAAAGTACTGGCTCTGAGCTTTAAGTAGGGGGAGGGGAGAGGAAGGCAGGAGGAATGAAGAAAATCTAAAAATAAGAATTGTTAAAAACCAGCAATTAAGAAAAAGCACAGGTGAACAAAGGGGTACCTTTGGGTGTGCATTGTGCATTACATTTCGTGAGTGTTGGATATGAAAAGGTGAATGGAACCTGTCTTGAATTTAGGAACTGCAGGGTGACAAAGTGAGCTCTCATAGAAACTGTAATATAAACTGTAATTGCAGACTGTGCATGCACTGGTCATTCAACATATTTTGATTGTGTAAGATGAGAGATGTTTAGCAAATTTTGGAAGGAGACTGACCATGTTATGCAAAAGGAGCTGAAAAAAAAAAAAAAGACATGGACTCCTCAACGTAGTAATGGTGTTTGTATAGTGAATATTTGAGATGTCTTTTCTTACTATATCCAAGAAGTACTGAAGCATAATAATTTCTTGTCATATGATGGTAGTACATGGATATCATGTTACATATGGTGTTGGGGTCAAGTGCACAGGTTCTGAAATGAGCCAGAACTGAGTACAAATTCTGCCAGCACTCATACTGTCAAGACTGTAGGTTTGACCAGGCACATTGGCTCACACCTGTAATCCCAGTACCTCGGGAGGCTGAGGCAGGCAGATTGCTTGAGCCCAGGAGTTCAAGATCAGCCTGGGCAGCATGGTGAAACTCCATCTCCACTAAAAATACAAAAATTATCCTGGCATGATGGCACACACATGTAGTCCCAGCTACTCTACTCGGAAGGCTGAGGTTGGAGGACCAGTTGAGACCAGGAGCTCAAGGCTGCAATGAACCAAGATTGTTCCACCACGCTCCAGCCTGGGTGACAGAAAGGAAAAAAAAAGGAAGAAAGAAAGATTGTAGGTTTGACCTCTGTGTTGGTTTTGCCTTTTTCTGTGGCCCCAGACTGCCTTCATCTGTCTTTGGTCACAGAGAAGCCAAATATTTTTTAGTGTGGTGGGAATAAGGCAAATTCATCACCGTTACAAGCAAATCAGCCCAAAGCATGTAGGTCAGTAGTGTCATCTGCATATATAGAGGGTGGCGGTTTCCCATAATGTGTCAAGAGAAGAAGACTAGTAACTTAGACCAGATGGGGAGTTCCACAGACGGCTCCCACTCGGAATGTAGAAGGCTGACACACCACACATGAGGCCCTAGCTCCTTGTGTTTGTTGGAAACAGAATTGGCTGCTTTCTTTTAATTTATTTGTATCAATCTCTAGTCCGAAACTAAGTTGTTTCAGGTCCAGAGCAATCAGCAGAGATGACATGGAGTACACTCTTAGCCCATAATTTTTTTTGTTTTTCTTTCAGGGGTTATAAATACCTCCCTGCCATTGTACTTGGCATGCTGTATGCAAATGGAGGTAGGAGTCCTATAGCTCATTAGGAAAGGGACCAAGGCTTGGAGCAAAGAGAGGACAGTGCCGAGCTGAGGCTGATAACAGTGGCCTTGTCCAGAATAGTGCATGGGAGCTTTCTTATCTCGCTTTGGCAGGAGGTGCTGTGGACTTCCTGTGCGAAATCAGGAGCGAACGCTGCTTTCCTCTTGTTGTTCGGCTTCCTCCCCCCTCAAGACAGTTCCCAGCACAGTGATTATCTTTGCATCTTCAAACATGGCACAATCTACTTCCTTAAGAGCTTGATGTATTCTTAAGGCTTAGGCACATTCCCCTCCCCTAAATCTCTTTTCAAGTGCTGTTATATAGTAAGGCTTCTAAATGACATTCTATTTTTATAGCCCCAATTACAAAGAGGGAAAAATAACAGTCCCTAAATTAGAAAATAGCCACAGAATCTGTCCTTTTTATGTAGAAGAGCTGGCAATAAGTCTGGCCTATAGTTTCCATACTAAGGCTTGTGCCCTTAGTAACTGCCCTCAGAGTCATGGGTGTGGGATGGGGGAGGTGTGGGGTGTCAGAGGTCAACAGCCCCAAGTGAACTCAGATAGCAGACTGTGTTTCCCTTGAGAAACATCCAGGCTTGCTTTACTCTAACATATTTCTTTGCATTTCCTAAAGCCCAGGAGTATGAAATTAAGATCTTTGACTAAGGCCTCCCTGATCTTTTTCCTTGCTTTGGGGGAAAAGGAATAAAATCTGAAAACTTGTCTTCGAGATGCAAGAGAACTTTAGCTGTTTGATGTCACAATCCCAAGTACATATGCGCATGTCTAATCTAGGTATATACACATGTATATGTGCACATTATATATACTCATGTATATAAGTACTGTACTATGAGTGTTTGAAAGACAGCAAGTCTAACACGAAATTAAGGTGGGGATGTTATAGTCTAGAAAATGGAGAATATGGATAAAGAAAAAATAGGGCAAAGTGACTCTAATATAATGACTTTTAAACTTTGTCATTAAAATGTTTCTAATAAAGGAGAAAGTGTATAATTTCTCTTTGGCTCAGTTTACTTATCAATAAGCATTAAAATGTTCATTTATTTTACCTGATGATTATTATAAGGATGATACTGGGTAAAAACTGCAGAAATTCCTTGAGGAATGGTCACCTTTTATTCATTCTTTTCAAATTTTAACTCTTGTAATCTAACTGTAAAGACATCTTTAAAAACATTTGGGGAAATCTGATACATGGTTTAGGTGCAAACACCACCATGGAATTATTGCTAATGCTCTTAGGTGTAAAAGTAGCGTTGTGGTTATATTGGAAAAATTTGCTCATTTTTTAGAGAGACCCACTGAAGTACATAGGGCTAAAATGACAAGATGTCTGAGATTTGTTTTAAATACATAAATCCTTCATTTGGCCAGGCTGGAAAGTTGAAAAATAAATAAAAATACACAGAAGAAAAAAAAAGAAGGGATAGATGAAGCCAATGTGACACAATTTTGACAACTATGAAATCTGGGTGACAGACATATGGGGATATATCACCCTATTCTCTCTATTTCTCGGTATGTTTGATAATGACAAACAATTAAAACAAGTAGAAACTCTTAGCAAAAACAACATGCCGGTACCTGTGCCTGTCTGCATGTGTGCAAATGTTTATGGGGTGCTGACGGCCTGCTCGGGCCCTGCCCTGCTATGGGGACAGAGTGAATACGTTGATTTGTCCCCTGTCCTGTAGCTGTCGGCCCAGCGGGGACTCAGAACCATTAAGTCAGCACTGAAAAGGTGGTGAGTACTCTGCAGGAGGACGTTACAGGGCAAGTACCCCCGCAGATGCGGTAGTTTAACACTCTGGAGTTCCTTCTCAGCCCAAGGACCAGAGAGGAGTAGTAACAGAACGTTTTTCTGATTACATTCCCTTTTTCTCACTGACTTGCGCCTCCCATTTTCCTCTCACATAAGTCATTCCTGTTCTTGGCTACTTAAGACGAACCACTCATTTTTTTCTGGAAATGAAGCTTGAAAATTTCATTTAGCCTATAATCCCAGGTACAGGCTGACGCGGCAGGATTGCTTGAACCCAGAGGTTCGAAGCTGCAGTGACCTATGATTGCACCACTACACACTCGACTAGGTGACAGAGTGAGACCCTCTCTCTAATAATAATAATAATAATAATAATAATAATAAATTCCTCTTGGTTTACAAAATCTGCAGAATCTGCCCAAGACATGTACAAATTAGAGACCAGCAAGTTTTCTGCTCAAAAAAATTCTAGTCCAGAAAATCAGAATGCAAAATGGTGAAATGTTTAAAACAGAGAGAGAGAATTCATGGACCTCAGAGATAAATAACATCAACGCCTTTATTTTATAATTAAACACTTGAGGCCTGAGAGCTTGAACAGTTCCCCAAAACTCGAGCAGAGATAGACTGAATTTAATAACTGTTTCATGATGTTTATTTCCATATGCACTTAATTAGCCCTGGAAAAAATTAGCCATCCAACTGCATATTCTGATTAAAAGTCAGCTTTTTATAGATATAAAATGGTATGATTTCCTTGACGTTTTTATTCATTAACATAACTTCATTTTTCCCGTGTTTGAATGTTACTTCCACTAAAATCTAGCTATTAAATTTTAAAATTTATGCATTTTTACTTAATATTAACATTTAGAACAAGGATATATGGTGACACACTAGTGTGGGGTTTTTTTCAAGTATGAGCCAAATATATTTGCTATTTTTTAAGTTTTGAGGATGAATGTAGGAAAAAACCTAAGGAAAAGAAGACTCACACATAAAATTTGTGACTCTGTTATCTGAGGACTTACACCAAGTTTTCATTTCACCTGTCCGCATTGACTGAACCATGCTGTAAAGCCACATTGTGATAACTTTTTTTTTTTAATAGGTATGACTTTTGTTCCAATAATGAAGAGTCCTTTATCCTGGATCCTGACAGCAACATAGGAAACAGAATTGAGAGCATCACTCAGCGCATGGCAATAATAGAAGGAAAGAATAAGGTATTGTTTGTAAAAATGAGCACTGGGATGTTTATTCTACAAATACACTGTCAGCTCCCAATTCTAGGTTTATTGGAACCAGGAGTAATTCAAATGTTCAAACAAAAATTCAGACAGAAGAAAGACAATGTCTGAACTATGTCTTTATGGAGATACATACAGAGACTACTCAAGCTGCCAGTTCCAACATAATGAGTACTCATTCCTAATGGTAGAGATGGCACTGTCCGCTTGAACATCAAACTGGCCCACACTGGTGGTTCGCAATCCTGGCTGCCTATTAGAATACTCTACCAATTATTACTACATCCAAATCTCCGGAGTGCAGCCGAGGGCTTGTAAAAGTTTCCCAGATGATTACAGCATGTGATGAGGATTGGAATCACTGATGTACATAAAGTGGGATCCCAGTAAGCAAAAGCTAGTATAAGACTTAGAGCTAAAACTGAATGCTTCTATTTTGTGAAATATGTATTTCCCTCTGTCTTTGCAAGATCAAAGCTTAAGTTGGGGGGGATACGCAAACACACAACCTATCAAGATTCCTTGACCTCATCAGTGCACTGTTCATTTTATACTCCCCTCACCCCCACTGAACCTTGGCAATAGCTAACAAGCCTGTGAGCTAGGAAAGTCTCAGTGGTTCTCAGACCTAGTGGCTTTTTCCTGTTGAATTAGAAAAGAATACACTTAAAAATCTGCTATTGTCTGGCACAGGGATAGTGATTCTTTTTTTCTTTTTTTTTTTCTTTTTTTTTGAGATGGAGTCTCACTCTGTCACCCAGGCTGGAGTCCAATGGCATGATCTCGGCTCACTGCAACCTCTGCCTCCTGGGTTCAAGTGATTCTCCTGTTTCAGCCTCCCAAGTAGCTAGGATTACAGGCACCTGTCATCACGCCTGGCTAATTTTTGTATTTTTAGTAGAGACAGGGTTTCACCATGTTGGCCAGGTTGGTCTTGAACTCCTGACCTCAGGTGATCCTCCTGCCTCGACCTCCCAAAGTGCTGGGATTACAGGTGTGAGTCTCCGTGCCCAGCTGTGATTCTTTAAAAAAAGAAAAAACATATCAAGTATCCCCTTGCTGACATGTCTGTTTACACATATATATCTTGATTTGGAGTAGAGACTGTTAATACAGTTTCCACTGCCTGCTTGAGTGTGGATATGCTTATGTTATCTATTCAGCCGTACCCTTTGCACTTGAAAATGACAAAGTAGATGGCATCGTTCCTCATGTATGATTTAACAATAACAACAAATAACATCTATAATTTTCATTAAGTGAAACTTTTTGACATATGCTAATGTCAACATCATTCTTTGGCAGATGAGCGTGGTTATCTCCATTTTAAAGATAAAGAAAACAGAGATGATAAGATGATTAACCCAAAGCCAGCTTAAAAGTGTAAATGAGAGACTCAAACCAAAGTCTTTCCTTTCCAAAACCTAATGCTCTTATAGTCAAGTAAGCCAATGTAGAAATTAGTCAGAGTGGCAGTAGCTTATACAATAACACCAATAGTCTCTTATTAAACATTTAGGAAGTTTTTATAACTACAGCAGTAGCTGTAGGTGGTTTACAACTCCTTTTCTCTAACAGAAATAAGCAGTACTTTAAAACATTCGGTGATGTGTGGCTATTGATAAGAGAGCAGTTTAATGAAATACTTAGAAGAAGTTATATCAACTTGAAAGTTTAATTTGTTCTTTCTTTTTTTTTTTTTTTTTTTTGAGATAGAGTCTCACTCTGTTGCCCAGGCTGGAGTGCAGCGGCCCAATCTCAGTTCACGGCAACCTCCGCCTCCCAGGGTTCAAGCAATTCTTGTGCCTCAGCCTCCCAAGTAGCTGGGATTACAAGCACACGCCATCTAAGTTTTGTATTTCTAGTGGAGACAGGGTTTCACCATGTTGGCCAGGCTAATCTAGAACTCCTGACCTTGTGATCTGCCCGCCTTGGCCTCCCAAAGTTCTGGGATTACAGGCATGAGCCACCACATCCGGCCTTCAGATATTTTTAATAAGGAAACTACCTCAGTTTATTAGCAGTGGACAGCAAATTAGTTGTCACAAAGTACTAGAAAA